TGGAGATTATCCAAGGTGCTTCATGACCCATAATTGGGTCCCAAGCCTAACTTTGGGAACCAAAGTGCAGCTTTTGACCCACAAAATAACAGTAGTAGAGACCTGTGCCCCCAGCTAGTTTTGGATGATAAACATTTGTATCAGGTCAACAAAACATGGGCATAGTGACAATATTTTTATACTACATTTATCCATTTTAAATATACTAACCTCACTCCTTTGTAACAACTAAGGCAAAAATGTAATTAARTCAGAAAATATTTTCAGGACCCCACCTTGATGTTTTGGGACCCCCCTTTGGGTCCCGACCCCAACTTTGAGAAACACTGGTGTAAAGCACTTTGGAGTCCAAAAGGATTAATAAAGCCCTACATAAGTTCAAGCTATTTACCATTTAGCACTTAAAAATAAAGTTTATTCAGTTTATTATGAGATATTTTGTTAACAGACTGACAAACAAAAACATACTCTATTTGGGCAAAAATATTATTGCTGGTGGGTGATAATAAAAAAATCTGTCTAACAGAAGATGGATTGTGTGCTTTTGCTGAAAGCAAACAGCATCAGMATCGGTGCAGTGTTCACCAGCTGTGCTGCACCTGATGATGGTCACACAAACAGCTCTTCAAGAAGAGGCCTGCAGACTCATGGTGACGAGCTCCCACTGGACATCAATGAGAACACAAACCTTCTGCTGCGCTCTTTTTCATTTAGACACATAATTAGTCTCTCAGGGATTAATAGACATGTAGGTACATGAATATGTGTGTAGTTTAACTCTTACATTAGATGAATTTAACAGTGATGATCTTACAGACAAATCAGTTCATCAAAGTAAATGATACAAATGCTACACTTTATTCTTGTTTTAGATTTTTTTCATCTCCTGCAGAAGGCAAAAATGCTTTGCTTGTGTTTGAGTGTTTGTCTTAACATTTAGTTTACGGTAATTTCTCATTAAACACAAGATTTTAATGAAACTATCAGAAAATAACCATTAGATGCACTTCTGCAGATGAATGAAATTTTGGTATCAGTCCAGTTCAATATGGCCTCCACAGCAAGGCAAACTTATAAAACTAAAAAATGCGTACAGCTACAGAAGCCAAGAGCAGATGTTTTCCATGTGTTTTTTTTTTCCATAGTTGTTTTCACAAAATAATAATGAGCATTTTCTCAAGATAACGAGATATGGTCTTGTGTCTCATTTCACCACAGAGACAGCCTGGTTCCATCAGCTAGTCATCAATGAAGTTCACTATATTATAACACAGGCTGAAATTGCAGTTTATTTGTGTTGTACAAATTGGTTTTCTCAGGATAACGACATACTGTATGTTGTAATCAGGAGAAATTCATGTAAAAAATTATATGCAGAATTAGTCTGCTCTCAGCGTCTGCAGACAACTCAGTCGATTGTAAAGATACAGAGCAAAATGTTAGGTATTTTAGTAGCTGAAGGTCAGCCCCAACTTCTTTAAGCACTAACTGATCACATGAAATCTGTTTTCAAAACAGACTTCATGAACTATATTCGCAAAATTACTCATGACCCATATATCCATCCATCCATCCATTTTCTGTACACGCTTCTTCATTTTCAGGGTTGCGTGGGTCACTGGTGCCCATATCC